TTTTTCATTCTCGGTGTGTTATTAATGTTTAAGGCTTAATTGAGTTTGGCTTATCATTTTAAGTGATGTTCAACAAAAACAATCAGCATATAAGGATTAGGTCATGGGAGATTTTTTGATTATACAGTAATTGGGAATGCATTTTTTATTCAACGTTCCAAGTTACAACATTTACCTATACGATAACGTCGTCATCGAAACGTCCAGAAATCGGCGCTATGAGGGGTCACCAGATAAGTATTAAATTAGTAAAACATAAGTTTGCGATATTTTTCAGAACTGGAAAAAACTTTTAAAAAAATGGCACAGGTGGATGGCGGATAGACAATCACGACATTCACATTCTTTGTCGCCATGTAGAGAATGAACAGCCTATAGTCCAATATCACGAGTCGGCCATTTTGGATCGAAAGCGAGGCTCTTAACGCAAACAGAAAAATATGGCGTCGTATCACTGCTGCGTTCCAAAGTGTACAAATGATTCAAGATATAATAAAAGTCATTCATTTCATAGCTTTCCTAGTGATATAAGTAGAAAGAAGTTATGGTTGGTGAAAATCCGACGTGATGAGGGAGCATTTTTCCAGGTATTTATCTAAAATACCGTAAATTCGGTTTTTAACTGTACGTGTTTCGGATATTTTTAGATTCGGATAGTTAAATTATTATCAATATGTACATTGTAAAAATAAAGTGTACTGTAACAATCATGCTCGGTTTTGAGATTTAATAATCTTTTAAGACATTAGTAATATTTATATTCAATTATTTATATTTTATTTTCATTTGTAGGTAAAACCACACACCAAGGTTTGCTCAGCTCATTTTACGGACACTGATTTCGTCAGAACATTGACAGGAATCAGATGCCTCAGCAAGACAGCATTTCCGTCGGTATTTGATTGGAGTTTTGAGACACCTTCACGGAAGCCCCCAACTCCACGGTTAAATTCACCAAAGAGAAAGAGACTGACTCTAGAGTAAGTTTTTATAAAGTACTGTGCCGACAATTAGATTATGGATCTAGCTTATACTTTTTATAAAGATATTCCTTTATTATGCCAATTGTGTTAATGAATTAGGTAATAAACCTCACTAAATATCATATGCAGATCATCTAATTGGTCTTCACTGGTCGGATAGATAGAAACAATTGCTAGCAACATGCTAATTTTTTTTTTGCTAATTTGTATAATTTTCTTTTACTTCAGAGATGATAAAGAGTGCAACACTGATGAATCTCAACCCCAAATAATGACTCCGCAGCCAGTATTTCATGACTACCTAGGACCTGAAAGGGAAATGTCATCTGAAGAGAAATTAAAAGCTGCCTCAGAACACATCGATGAGCTAGAACATCTGGTTGAAAGGTTAACTATTGGCAGGTTTGGTCTGCAACGTTTTGCAACTGACCCAAAGTCAACTGACCCAAAGTCTCTACAGTTTTACACAGGCTTCAGCTCATACACACTCCTTCTTAATGTGTACAACTTGCTTCGGCCAACAGCAGAGAAAATGACTAGATGGTCTCAGATTCAGAGGAAACGAATGGGATATTCCCAAGAAATAAACACTGACATATCTTTCCGGTCAGAAAGCACACCACTTATTGACCAATTCTTCATGTTTCTGGTTAAAATAAGACTAGGACTTTTTCAACAGGACATAGCTTGTCGATTTAATGTGTCACAATCAACTGTAAGCCGAATAATCATTACTTGGGCAAATTTTATGTATTTTCAGCTAGGTTCAATTCCCATATGGCCATCTCGTGAAAAAGTTAATAAGTTTATGCCAGATTGTTTTAAGGAACTTTACCCCTCAACTCGTGTCATTTTAGATTGTACAGAAGTTAAAATACAAACACCATCTGCATTGAGCTTGAATTCCGAGTTTTACTCGCATTACAAGGGGACAACAACATTAAAGGGTCTCATAGGCATTTCACCATCCGGTTGTGTTACCTTTGTGTCTTCCTTATTTGCTGGCTCAATATCAGACCAAAATATAACAAGGCAATCTGGAATCCTTCCGCTAATTGAACCTGGTGACAGTGTGATGGCAGATAAGGGTTTTCTAATCGAGCAAATGTTAGCAGAAAGACAGGCCAGACTTAATATTCCTCCATTTTTAACTAAAAGAGACCAGTTCACTAAAGAGGAAGTTGAAGAGACACAGGAAATTGCCAGACTTCGGATCCATGTGGAACGCGCCATTCGACGTATAAAAGAATACCACATTTTTGACTCTGTTCTTCCTGTTGCTATTACTGGATCAGCATTACAACTGTGGACTGTATGTTGTTTATTAACACTGTTCAAAGGACCATTATTTTAAAACAGAAAGTACAATTGATACTCTTAAGACTTTTATTAACTTGGTGCATATAATTCTGCCATTATCATATAGACACCAACATTATCATCAGTAAAAATAAAATGAATAGGTTTCAATACATATTTTCATGTTAACAAGAGCCATCAAGTCATTGAAGTGGAAGTGTTTAAGTTCACTAGAACTCCGCGAGTTGGATGTGTCGCCTTGTGAACAATGTAGTTTAGGAGAAATGGCCAGGACAAAAATGAAATATGAAAAATAACAAAGGGCAATAACTAAAAAAATAATAAGTGCAGAGCAGCAGTTTCTGTACACTGCACTTCTTATCAATAAGATCTATCATTCTATGATGTTTCAAGTCCATAGCTTTCATACTTGAGGAGAAATGACCAGGACAAAAATAAAGTAAGAAAATCAACAAAGGGCAATAACTCAAAATTAAGAAATGCAGAGTATCTGTTTTTTTGCACTGACCTTCTTCTTAATGAGATCTATCATCCTATGAAGTTTCAAGTCCATAACTTTTATACTTTCGGAGAAATGGCCTGGACAAAAATTAAGTATGAAAATTAACAAAGGGCCATAACTCAAAAATTTAGTAATGCAGAGTACCGATTCTTGTGCACTGCACCTCTTCTTAATGAGATCTATCATCCTATGAAGTTTCAAGTCCATAGCTTTTATACTTAAGGAGAAATGGCCCGGACAAAATTAAAGTATGAAAATAAACAAAGGGCAATAACTCAAAAAATAAGAAATGCAGAGTACCAGTTCTTGTGCACTGCACTTCTTCCTAATGAGACCTATCATCCTATGAAGTTTCAAGTGCATGGCTTTTATACATTAGGAGAAATGGCCCGGACAAAAATAAAGTATGAAAATTAACAAAGGGCAATAACTCAAAAATTAGGAAGTGCAGAGTACTGGTTCTTGTGCACTGCACTTCTTCTTAATGAGATCTATCATCCTATGAAGTTTCAAGTCCATAGCTTTTTTAGTTGAAGAGAAATGGCCCGGACAAAATTAAAGTATGAAAATTAACAAAGGGCAATAACTCAAAAAATAAGAACTGCAGAGTACCGGTCCTTGTGCACTGCACTCGGGTTATTGAAAGAAGCATGCATACCAAGTTTGAAGTCAATCAGACTAATAGTGACTGAGTTATGCTCCGGACAAGCTTTAGGGGACGCCGACAACGACAAGGCGACACAATAAAAAGTGTTCTTTTAAAATTGAAAAAATGGTTTAAAATTATGTGGAGAATGAGATGAACATGTTTATTCCATTAAAATATAAAAAATAGATATATCTGTGTTTCTGTTTTATTTTGAATTAAAAAAACAGCTGGCAAAAAATTTAATCTGATGACATGTCATTGATAATCTCATCTAATATTATCTATAATCAACAAACTTTAAAGTAAAATGAGATATTTAAAATGTCTGTGAGATATAAGTCATACCAGTATCACACTCCAAAGCATGAGTGATATCAGCAATAAAACATTATTAACAAATCATATAATTATATAGCTAAGCAAAAAATATATTGCTTGTAAAGATATTGATCATGTACACTGCCTGTAGGTGCTATTTTACTGTTTGACTTATGCAGTAAGAGCTTTTTGCATATTATGACCTTTTTGGTAATTTTTGTTCCATTATTTTCAAGTGTAAATTACTTTCATTGTTTCCCTGACAATATTTCACTTTTTAATACAATTAACAAAAAAATCCTGAAACTGCACCCATCTGAAAGCATGCTGCTTTAAGAAGCACTTTTTTTGTGCAAATGTCAATTTTATTGTTTAGACAAACTTTCTCATGAAATGATCAAAATAAAAAACACACAGTTTCTCATATGCTTCACACCATACATCCTTGTCGAAGTAAATCCTTTCAATGTGCATATCGTTCTGTGTCCATACACAGAAATCAGCCCATGTTAGGCCAGTGAGAGCCATCTGGCCCATGACCTGCAAATAATATGAATGTGAATGTTTAAGGCTATAAGTACCGTCCGCATTTTCACGTAGGAACTGGGATTCTGTGTATGATTCTTTCACTGGACATTTAACTTCCAAAACACCAAACTGACATATTTCATTTGGATCATAAACTATCCTGTCTGGAGATGTTCCAAGAAATGGCGCATCAGGGTTTATGACAAAGCCACATGGTTTAATATTAACATTTTTATGTGTTGCATACTCCAGCACTGCATTACCTTCATTTTCAATACCATGTTTCATCGCTGCAGTCTGGACTTTACGTGAACTACTTAACCTTTCTGTTAATGTATCGAAATCCTTTCTACGCACAACAATGTCTTTGAATGTTGAGGAAGTGAGACGTTTTTTCCTAAGGTTGTGCCATTCAGGGTAATCACTTTGTTTCCGAGTTAGTTGTTCAAGCTCCTCTGCTAGCTCCTGACTCACACCTATGCCATCAAAAAACAGTTGTTCATTTTCACTTAGTACTCTCTCATATGTACGCCTCAAATCATGTGTTGAAAATGGCAACTGTGGGAATTCCGGTCCATCTGGAATCCGAGTTATACTTCCATCAGATTCCGGTTCAGGCAACTGATGTGCCAGACAGCTACCACTTAAAACACTACCAAAATGAGCTCATTTTTGTTTCAATACTGTCAAAATTGTCCGGCAACACTTTGTTTAACTGAATTTCCGAATTTGAAACAATTAATTGTAATCCTTTCATAAATTCAATGTCTGGAAATTGTGTATTGATAGGATTGTACAGTGTGCTACATACACATTGCTCAGAATTTTCATTTTTCTTGGACTTTGGTTTCACAAACTTAACATCTGAGAGTGGCCTTGGCACAATTCCATGAGTTCTCGGTGGCACTTGCCAAAGTTGTGGAGATGAAGTTTTTGAAACAATATCGGGAACAGATTTCATTTTCAGGGTTTTGTAGTGTGCAAGTTGATACACAAGGGCAGCCACATGAGCACATGAACCTTTCCCAGCCGAACATGCACAGTACTGGCTCTCAATTTCTTTTGTGTTCAACAGGGATATCTGAAAGTATAATTATAAAGCATGTTTTATTCACAAATGTAAACAAATATTATTATAAAATATGAATTTCGTTTCCCTTTCTATCAATTTATATAGCATGAGTAGAACCACCGACCTTCTATGAGCTACCTCGATACTTCCTCACATGAAAGAATCCAAAATCCCAATCGGGATTCGAACCCACAGTATTGAGAGGCAAATTTTTTAAAGTCAACAACCTTAGCCACTCGGTTACGGAATTATGTAGTGAAGATATTTTTTTAAACTTAAATCAGAGAAACATATAGAGAATCTATATACATAAATGTATTCACTATTGAATCAATTTAATTCTGAGATATTAAATTACAAATGTCAGTAATGTCCTAGAACCAGGCACAACTGGCTTTACACTTGATGGACTAATGGGTTGCTTAATTTTCCAGCTATAAAGCCCCATTTAAAAAACACACTTTATAGTGAGCTGTGTCATGACAAAACCAACATAGTGCGTTTGCGACCAGCATGGATCCAGACCAGCCTGTGCATCCGTGCAGTCTGATCATGATCCATGCTGTTCGCTATCAGTTTCTCTACATGTAATAGAATTGATAAGCGAACAGCATTGATCCTGATCAGACTGCGTGGATGCGCAGGCTGGTCTGGATCTATGCTGGTCGCAAACCCATTATTTTGGTTTTGTCATGACACGGCTCATATATAATAATAATAATATTAATATAGTGTACACTAAAATGTTCATTAAACTACTGTCATATGTTATCAAAAATCATTATCAGTATTGAATCATCTAACAACAGACAAAAAGCTACAGTAAAAAAAATAAGCTACTTACATGCAATGACCACGGTGACTCGTTTTTTTTCATGGATCGGAAACATTTTCCTCGCACATGGCAACCTTCTTTGTTCATCTTCACTGAAAGTTAACCAGTAATTTTCTTTATTATTTACAATATCCATTGTCCTTTTATCGGATCTATATTTAATAGCCTGTCAAATATTTAGAAAAATCACTTTCTATAGGCTGAATGCATTCAAGCTATAAAGAAACACGATTATAATCTGTGTGTAAGTGAACGCATGGTGTGTAACACAATATGCATAAATGTACATGACAGCGTGGGATAGTTTTTTTTAGCTTGATGACTATATATGGAGTCTATTTTTAACGAAGGGAATCACAAAAGGTCATGATGTGTAACCTTTCAACTTACCTTCAATATTATGCACATACGAGCCATGAAAAAACTTGTAGCCTTTGTCAAGATGTTTAGTTGGAACTTTAGAGTGTTTCTGAATTATTTTTACAACGTCACACATTGAAATGTCTGGAACAATCGATAAATTATTTGTCCATCCCGGTTCGCTGAGAGGTTTTCGTGACGCCATTGTTTGTATAGGAAATCTCCTGCGTTAAGAGCCTCGTTTTGAAAATTTTCAAGTGAATACCGTCTATTATTCATTATATTCTGATGAAAAAATAGTGTATGTTTTCTAAATATCAGCATCTAGACATAGTCAGCAATATGTTTAAATCACTAAATGAAACGCTCTTTTATATTCATGGTGTTGTTAGAAACCAAGACATATGTGTCCCTGTAGCATATAAAGCATACACACAAGTACATGTGCATTTAAAGTATTCGCATACAGGCTGAGCATAACGTGATAACAAAATAAAAAGGCAATAGTATTATGTATGCAACATTATGAGTTATCTTCACTTGAACATGACATCAAATTTAAAAAGAAACATCTGTTTGCCACATATTACTAAAAATGAGTTTCAATGTCGTAGTTTAAGCATTTATATTGTCCTATTCTTGTTCATTTAATTATAACTTAAACAATTCAAAGTTTAAAACATTGTACTCAATGTTTTCTAATGTTAGTTACTGCAGTATTATATAAGACGTGTCTTATTTGTGTTATATTCAGCTTTGCTCCCTTCAGTTGTCAGTGCTTACATTTGTATTTAGAGTCCAGCTATATGTGTTATTACATGAAAACACCGTATTTGTAAAAGGTTTGTGTGATTATCTGCATAGACGAAAACTAGTAGATTCTATATCAAATTCCGTACATGGAAACCTATTTTCAATAGCGTGTCATAGAACAGAAATTGTCAAAAAAGTCTCGAAGTAAAACAGGGAATATAAAAGAAGCCAAATAAAGCTTGACACTAAGTGCGTACTTGTTCCTGTTAAAAGTTCCAATTTATGTAGAACAGCACGGACTTACACTAGGTATAGGTTAAAGTTTATTAGTTCGTTTTTACATAATTAAATTTTAACCAGCTTAGTGACCAAAATAATTTTGTATACATGTACTAATAAACTTTAAAAAGCTTACTGTTTTAAATATTTATTATAAACTGTTTATTTGCTAACCTGATTAACAGTTCGCAGATTTACCAAAAACAAATGTTTTGCATTCATTTGAAATACCGCAATCCTGTTGTACAAAACTTATTTGTATCACCAACATATACATAGAGTTCAGACATATATTTATTGTGGTAATTAGTACATCTATATTTTTATAAACGGGGATATACAATCAGTTGCTGTTTAGCTTTTCATTTTACATTACACATCTTGCGTGTTGTAAACAGGCACTGAGTTTTGGGATAAGTTATTAATCATAATGAATGTGTTAGTATAAACGTCTGCTTTTATCCGGGTGACGTTTCCTAGACAGTCAGTTTGAGAGCACAAAACGTTTAACACTTGAATTTGTCGTGTGGACCTCTCTGCTACTTTATTTTTTGGTTTTGCTCATTAAATAAAAACGTACTGTTATATTAATATACACTGTCCTTATAAATGATATACTTGATTTGAATTATAACAATTATATATCTAACAGTTTTATTCTCTAAAAATTATATTCTGGTAAATAAATTGCACTTCGGTTGAATTATTATCATCAGAAATATATGTGCAGTATGCACTAAAAGTTGAAATCAATACAATACGTATGGCTAATGAGAAATGTAAGTAATTACAATATTTTTTTTGAGAACCATCCTTTATACAAGTAATGTTCAAAAATGTTGTGGACTCTTGCTGTCATTAAAATTACAGAACAAAGGGAGTTTAACAAAATATTTAACTACCATGTTTAAGTCAATTTGACGCAAATTCACTCCATGAAAGCTAAATATACTAGTATGTATGTATTATTATCTACTTGACCCAGCGTTTTATTACTTTTATTTTCAGAACAACAATTCCTTACACAATTTCCAGGTAAGATTCGGGATGAAATCAAAAAAGCTGTGTCAATAAATGTCGCGCTATACTTGAAATATGATTATATTTTTGAATGGCGGTTAAATATTTAATTACTGTAATACCGAAAGTAGTGTCATTCCAGTGGCGAGCGAGAGTTGTGAGCAGGAGCAGTTTAGGTTTGGGGATTATGACGTAATGTTAATCTTTTAAAGTGGTCTTCGAGTGTACTTGAGAGGTACAATATCCTTTTGAAGTGGTCTGCCAATGTACTTGAAAGGTAGAATATCCTTTTGAAGTGGTTTTCAATGGCACTTGAAAGGCAAAGTGTCCTTTTAAAAGATGTTTGATTAAAAATAAAGATGGCGAATATTTGCATAATTAAAATGGCGGCTAGTTCCGTATATTCTGAAAAACAAAGATGGCAGATAGTTTACCTGGCAACCAATGGGGAGAGTGATGCATGAATGAGTGATTATAGGCAGTATGTGTGTGTATTGAAATGTTTTCTCAATAAACATTATTGATTAATCTCAATTTAAGCTTGGTTTATTACTTTAAACGCAGAAATCCGTGCAGGATTGATTATTATTATTATTATTATTATTATTATTATTATTATTATTATTATATTTTGTGATTATCATTATTATTAATATTACAATTATTTTCTTCTTCTATCATAATCATTATTATTAAATCATGGGAGAAAAAGTGGCAGAGAAGAACGGCTCAAATGTCGCCCATTGCAGATTAATGTGCATGTTGGAGTTTTCATTACAAATATATTACGCTAAGGCAGTAGTGAACAAACTGGAAAAGGTCGCGCGCTTACTTTGTGACGGCTGCAAACACGAATACCTGTCTCAGTTAAACCACTCGTGCATGATGGTGGGCCGGGAAAGCAAGCTCGGGCACTATTTCTGGGACGTGACTGAAACATTGGACGACGAAAAATAATCGAACAATGGTACGTAGAAAAGATCTGGCGCTTGCTGTGCTTTGGCTGCAAAAACAACTACCTGTCTCAGCGTAATCATTCGTGCACAATGCTTGACCGCGGCAGCAAACTGAATGTTCATTTCTGGGACATTATAGAAGTTATGGACGAAGAGGCGGAAATTGGGAAGTGGTACAGATCACAAGCGTGCAAAGAGTTCGAACGGTCTGTACTGGATATGTTAATGCTTAAATAACGATGCCGAGATCACAGGGAAACACGGATGAAAACAGACAGTTGGAAAAGAAGCGTCGATCGCACAATGAATGCTATCATATTTTTTTTTGTATTGAATAGACCAATTAGGGCGAATCACCTTGGCAAGCAGTAAACAAAAACAAAATGGCGGCGAACGAAAATGAGTTACATCCGGGCACATTTATGTTGTTTTACAAAAATGCAACAGTGCGTATACGTACCCTATAAAATTGCGTTTTAGCGGAGACAATAGATTAAAATACTGACACCGCCATTTTGTTTTGAGTATTACGGAAATAAATTCAAATGGACGGAGATAATGAATTCCATGTGTTATCTGTGATTGATGTTCTAACTTGATTGTCAAATCCACTTCAATGCACATTTGCCTTAAGATAATGATGATAAGTATACTACTAGTAATAACAATTTATCCGACATTTCACCATGAATTGTGTATAAAATAAACCAAATTCTATTAAACTATGACGTATTGATTATAAAAAAAAGAAAGAAAAAACACCTGCGATTGTTACTATAAAGCCAATAAAAATATATTGTATACAATGCAGTTACAATGAACACGCGCGAAGTTAAAATAAGTGATGGGCTTTGTCAATTATAGAGTTACTGAATCCAATTGATTCTTGGTCGCGCCATTTAGAGGGTCATTCTCAATATATCATATGTTTAAGATAAGAAAAAAAATCTGATATAATACTGTCATCTTCTTATTAACTGATGAACATCTTATACATATTCAATTTGGTGCTATATTAATATTTTCCTCTATATGTATTAAAGAATTTGACAATTGACCAAAAATAGATGTTTTCATATTGTGTCAATCCAATTTGTCTGCCACTTTTGGTAAGGGAGGTAAGTAATGTAAATTTGGGAATTATCTATGTATCTGTAAATCAAACATTTTCAATTTATCATGGATGAAATGTGTTCCTCGAATGTGGCGCTGGTTTTAAATGAAACGTTACTGCATCGCAAAATAATTGCTCGTAAAGTGTCAGTCGAACACATACGCTAGAACGAAAAATTATAACGATTTGAATATATTTTGCCGACTCTTTGTCATCCGGAACATCTTTTTAAAATCTCGTTTATTCTTTGATATATTTAAATGTAAACAGAGCAACATCATGAACGTTTTTTACGTTACAAGTGACAGTGCCATTTTTTATTGAACATCCTAATGAAATTTTTAAAATTTTGTGACTAGAAGAGAGGTCATACAGGCGGCATCCATTTAGAAAAAAAAACCACTGAACAGCATGCGGTTAAAATTTGACATTAACAAATGAACTGTCTACATGGTTGGTTTGTATGTACATAATAAGTAATCAGCAAATGAATAAGTGTACATTTAGCTCTTATATCTGACATGATTTTGGTCATTTTCAATTCGATATACATGATTTGTTCATTTAATTAGATAAAATAGTTCAACATTTCCGAACATTTACTTCTTACTCGTTTATTGATAAACTGTTTTTAAGGTAGGTTAAAACGAAATAAAAAAAATTCCCTTACCGAAGTATTCCAGAACGGATCATTATTATTCATTGTCATTTTCTTATACGTCAATAGAAAAAAAAGAGTTTAATAAGAAGGAATCTGAAAAAGGCATACATTTCGGTTTAAGTTTTCACAATAGGCGAGCGTCCATTTTTCGCTGGTGACGTAAATTATATTACTAATTTGTAAGTAAGGAAACATGAAGAAAATGGACGCATTCAGTTCAGTCAGAAACGTTTGCTTTGCAATTTGCAAATACATGTACATTCAGAGAACATAATAAAACCATTGTCACTCGAACCTATGCAAACTGGAATCATAACACTGGGCCACTGTTAAACAGATATGTTGCTTTTATTAAAATGTTGATACGCATTTATGTAGTTTAAAAAAAGGGAAATTAAAACAGTTTCTTATAACAGAACATTATTCCGTCGACTTAAAACCGTTTTTAAATTAT